GTGTCCGGCCCATAACTTCGTTATTTGAAGTCGGATTTTATAACTATTTCACAGAAATGATCATCCTATTGAGACGATGTGTTGCGCGCAATATTTGGGTTACTTCCTTGAAGGTCAAGGTCAAAGCATGACCTTGCAGCAAAATCGTGTTTGGCCCGTAACTTTGTTATTCAAAGTCGGATTTTACAACTATTTCACAGAAATGATCACCATATTGAGACGACATGTCGCGCGCAGTATATTTAGGTCGCTACCTTGAAGGTCAATGTCACAGCATGACCTTTCAGCAAAATTGTGTCCGGCCCATAACTTCGTTATTTGAAGTAGGATTTTACAACTATTTCACAGAAATGATCACCATATTGAGACGTGTCGGGCACAACATTTGGGTTGCTACCTTGTTTTTACACTTTGAACTTTGTCTGTAACATAACTCTGACACTTTAAGAGGTATACCTTCCTGTGTTCAAAACCTATTCGGGGAGCATCACCCGGTTCAATCGGCTCTTGTTTAAATACAACAGCTTCACAAATCAGACAACAATAGTTATGTCAATCAAAATTTAATTATCCTGGTTTGACATTGATAATGAAATAAATGGCATATAGGGAAATGTAGAAGAAAAAATATTTGGAGGTGTTCAACTTGATTAATCTTATTCGATTAAAAATTCAATTGTACAAAATAATAAATCAAGAACACGCCTACTGAACGGTGGCTCTTTCACAATTTGGTGATCTGTTTAAAAGAGAGCCCTCGACACTTCCGTTATAGAGCCATCGACCAAAACAAAGCAGAAAAAGTTAAACACAGTTTATAAAACATCCAATTTTAAAAAATATGCTTCTTTTTCAAAAATCGAAGAATGCTTTGCCACGTAGAACATTTTTCTAATCAGTTTAGTTGCAGTTTCGATACGAAATACTTTAAAATGACGTTGCTAGAACTTTTACCAAATAATATTTCGTTTTTGTTTTTTTGGGTTTTTTTTCGCAAGGAGACACATCTTGAGTTATTTCTCTACCATAAAGTTAATGCTGACCCACATTATCTTACATGTAACATTGTGCCTACCTCACCTTTGGCTCAACACAAAAATATTTCTAAGAGCTTGGCTAGAAATAAAATATTTACATTTATTGAAATGTGACCGAGCCATCGACAAGGTGCTTGCGCCATCGGCAATGTGAAAGAGCCCTAGCAAATGTGACAGAGCCATCGACAAGGTGCTTGCGCAATCGGCAATGTGAAAGAGCCCTAGCAAATGTGACCGAGCCATCGACAAGGTGCTTGCGCAATCGGCAATGTGAAAGAGCCCTAGCAAATGTGACCGAGCCATCGACAAGGTGCTTGCGCAATCGGTAATGTGAAAGAGCCCTAGCAAATGTGACCGAGCCATCGATAAGGTGCTTGTGCCATCGGCAATGTGAAAGAGCCCTAGCAAATGTGACCGAGCCATCGACAAGGTGCTTGCGCAATCGGTAATGTGAAAGAGCCCTAGCAAATGTGACCGAGCCATCGACAAGGTGCTTGCGCAATCGGTAATGTGAAAGAGCCCTAGCAAATGTGACCGAGCCATCGACAAGGTGCTTGCGCAATCGGCAATGTGAAAGAGCCCTAGCAAATGTGACCGAGCCATCGACAAGGTGCTTGCGCCATCGGCAATGTGAAAGAGCCCTAGCAAATGTGACAGAGCCAAAGTAAACCATTCAATAACTGCCGATATTGGTACGTAATTACCGGCATTGTTTACATTTTGCATGTACCACTTAACGCTTTTGAGGGACTGACAACAATAATAAATGTCAGAATTATAAATATTTATGATTTATTTCATTAATTATTTACATATTATATTGTAAACAGCTTACATTTAGCTAGAAAGTTGCATTTATTACAATTTTACTCCATTAACTTTGACAGGTGTTGTTGTTTGCTACTGCATTATGGTTTGTATAGCTTTCGTTGTCAATAGTAATTGCTGCTGACGCTTAGTTAACATCATCATCAAAAGCAACAGACAGAGCCATTCTATGTTACCAGTCATTTTTATAAACATTATATGTATTCAAACGTAGAACATTGTCCACCAACCAAAACGTACAGTTGAACATTTTTCGAACCTTTTTGTGCTAGTTTTCTCAGATTTCATATAAATATCAACTGCAGTCAAATTCCATTTAACTTTCGGTTAATGAACTTTATTGACGTCAATTTTATTCATAAGGCAAAACAAAACATAGACTGTAGATTATTATTTTTGCATTTAAGAATAATTGATAAGGACTTTGTATTGTATTTTTTTTTACATTATTACGGTCATTGATTCGACCAAACTTTGTATTTACGTTTCCACATTTTGAAGAGAAACATTTTAAATGGCAGTCGCGATCATAATTTATGTAAATTGTATAAAAATAGCTATAGGAGGTTTAGGACAATTGACTAACTGATAAGGTTAGGCACCTGACACAGGGGCCGACATGCACGAGCACATTTTCCTGTTTTTCACAGACGAATTGTTATGAAATTTTAGTCAAAAAGGCGGATCTTTTTCAAAATTTTCTATAATATTATTAATAAAGAGAATACCCCCAAACCGGTGAGATATAAAATACATTATAACAAATAGTAAGATTAGCAAAATTTAATGAATTTTTTTCTCTGAAGATTTTTCTTCCCTAAGAAATCAACTTAGATGATATTTAAGACAACTTTAAGATTCTTTATGAATAAGGCTACTAATCATTTTAATTTGTTTTGCCTTTTCATTGAAGCACAGATCTTTATTACAGAACAGAACAGAACAGATACTTTATTAAGATTTGTACATTTATTGTACATCATCTATAATACAATAATATTTACAAACATTACGTCAATATAATGGTAATAACATTAATGACATTACTTTATTACACGGATCTGTGATATGAATCCAAAAAGAACAACCACACGCGTACATTCAGTTATTTTTTTTTTTTTTTTTTTTTTTTTAATATTCAAATCGATTTCGAACAATATGTTCTTCGTCAGTGAATAAACAGGAAGTGAATAAACAGGAAGAGACGTCACATGACGTCAACGTCCGAGATGCGCGGAAACATACATTGTTACGTTACGTTATATTAGATTTCATTAAAAAATTAATAAAGTTAATAAAGATTTCAAAATATATATATATATATATATATATATATATATATATATATATATATATATATATATATATATATATATATATATATATATATATATATATATATATATATATATATATATATATAAACATTCACGGATTATTAATACAAGTATTTCCTATATAACATATATAAAAAACAATAATAGGAAACAACGTGAATGTTACGTAACGTGTATACATGCATAAAACAGATGAAATATTATATTGGAAAAAGTATATAACCATTTATAATGGAATGTCTACGCAAAAGAACTTACGGAAATAATTAAATGTCGTATATAATTTTTGCATTTAATCCAGCTGGTGAAAAACGTCTTAAGCTTATGAATCCAGTAGGTTTCTCTACATAGACGCTCCATTGTGTCGCTGACAATCTCAAACGGTAAAAATGAAAAGTCATTAAATGAATGATCAATTGAATTAAAATGCGTTGCAACAAGAGTTGAAAACGCTGGATCTTTGAAATTTGTAATATCAAATTTATGACTATTCATTCTACGTGAAACCGGTTGAGATGTCTGGCCAACATATTGCATATTGCATTTTTGACAGGAGATTAAATAAATAACATTATTTGTAGAACAGTTTGTAGGGTTTCTCAGTGTATATTTTTCGCCTGTGACACTGCTTGCAAAAGATACATCCGAAGTAATTCGATTACAATGAGAACATCTACTTCTGTTACGGAGAAGATGAATGAATTGACATTTGCTTTGAAAAGCGGATCTGTGATATAAGTCATGACTGTAAGTCTTTATTAACTCGTGCAATATGAATCGCCAATATTCTACAAATATGGACACTAATTGAATGTTGTTTTGGCTCCATCACATTTGCTAGGGCTCTTTCACATTACCGATGGCGCGAGCACCTTGTCGATGTCTCAATCACATTTCAATAAATGTAAATATTTTATTTTTAACCAACCTCTTTGAAATATTTTTTGTGTTGATCCAAAGGTGAGGTAGGCACAATGTTACATGTAAGATAATGTGGGTCAGCATTATCTTTATGGTAGAGAAATCACTCAAGATGTGTCTCCTTGCGAAAGAAAACACACGAGTTAATATTTGGTAAAAGTTCTAGCAACGTCATTTTAGAGTATTTCGTATCGAAACTGCATCCAAACTGATGAGAAAAATGTTCTACGTGGCATAGCATTCTTCGATTTTTGAAAAAGAAGCATATTTTTAAAAATCGGATATTTTTATAAACTGTATTTACCTTTTTCTGCTTTGTTTTGGTCGATGGCTCTATAACGGAAGTGTCGATGGCTCTCATTTAAACAGGTCACCAAAATGTGAAAGAGCCACCGTTTAGTAGGCGTAAAGAAACTAGATCAACATTGACAGTTCATAAAACAAAACAAAAAAAGTAAAATTTCATTTACATTTCCTTGAAACAAGGGATATGTTTATTGTTCCGATTTTTTCGAAAAATCTACATTAATAGAAAGGTAGCGTCCATAAAATAACCCAAATTCACAAATGAAATAAGCTGTTATTGTCTTAAAATTGAACATTTATCTATTATTAAAACGAAGCCGAAGTTTTGTCCCGAACTTAGCCAAAACAAAACAAAAGTAAGCGCTCGTCACTTTATTAATCTTTCCATTGTTTCACAACATTACTTTAATGTGTTAAATATATAATTTATCACTTTGGTCTAGAGATGGTATCATGAGATATAGCTGAGCTAAAATATTTAACTATTATACTGAAAAAGGGGAGAAAACACGTGACTTGCCCACAGAAATTTAGAGTTTTTTAACTCAAGGATATAAACTTAATAACATAATAAGTGTAACAATTTATTAATGATTACTTTGCATTGAAAAAACACGTCACATTGGGCATTTTATTGCAAACAATCAAAATACATTTTGATGATACAAACTCATTAAATGAAATTTGTTCTCGATAATATATGTACAATATTACAACAACCTAACAATCATTAGAACTACCCGGATGTTGAAATATACAATGTATATAGATAATAAATAGTAAAAGTTTAGAGATTGCACTCGAATAGTTTTATATAATACTATAATTTGTTAAGATTTGTCATTTTATGTTAAACAATACTGATCTAAATATACAAAAGGTAAAATATATTAAACATTATATATGAAGACAGATAAAAAAAACCTCTCATCAACATCTAGGAAAAGATACTACCATTCTATGACAAAAATAAATAATTCATTTGTCCCTGAATTTCAAACATATTCGTCAATAATTTAAAACAGTACCTTGACTTGCATGGTCCTTTAATACAAATACGGGAAAATTTATTTTAAACAAGAGCTGTCGGTAGGACAGCAACGCTCGACTATTCTAGTGCTTGATAGTAAAAAATAATGCTTGATACAGTTACCTACTCCTGTTTACAGGTTGGGGCCATGATGGTGAACAAGTGTACAAAGTTTCAAAGCCATATGTCAATGGACTTTGAAAAACTTTAACGTAAATTCTAAGTCGAAAAAGGGGCATAATTCTGTCAAAATGCTTGATACAGTTACCTCCTCCTGTCTACAGGTTGGGGTCATAATGGTGAACAAGTGTGGAAAGTTTCAAAGCCATATGTCAATGGACTTTGAAAATATTTGAGGTATTACAAAAACTTTAACATAAATTCTAAGTTGAAAAAGGGGCATAATTCTGTCAAAATGCTTGATAGAGTTACCTCCTCCTGTCTACAGGTTGGGGTCATGATGGTGAACAAGTGTGCAAAGTTTCAAAGCCATATGTCAATGGACTTTGAAAATATTTGAACTATTACAAAAACTTTAACATAAGTGGTTACGCCGACGCCGACGCGGACGCCGACGCTCGGGTGACTACAATAGCTCTACTTATTCTTATCGAATAGTCGAGCTAAAAATTACAGCTATTTTTTAAATTGTTAATAAGACAGGACACTGAAATGGGAATCTGTTTGTTACCATTTTTACTTGATAACAGGCCAGAAATAATTTGTCATAATGAATATTAAATATTTACCTCATAATCCTGAATTGAATTTTTATTTTCCTCCTTATTCAGCAAAAAGCCCCGATTGTATATAACGATTGTACTTGTGTTGACATCTCTGATTGTGTATTTCTTATATAAGTAATGATATACGTAATGATAAATTAAGCGACGGTATACATGTATGACTCACTAACAATTCTTTACAAGGTATTGTTATCAAACACAGTTCTTAATCTAATCGGATAAAATAGATTTTAGTTAATCTTTATTACGGAACAAAAACGAGGAATTAACCTTTCACCTAATCGTTATTGTAGAATAGTTAAATAAGTACAAGAGCCTGATTCGTGTTAAATTAAAAATTAAATAGAGCATTTAACTGCAATATTTCTATAAAACACAATGCATAATAAACATAATACAATCGTGATGCTATACTGTATGCAAGTAAAATGCACTTTCTAAACTGAAAAATCCCTTATGCGTGTCTGAGGTCAGATTTTTTTTGTATAATAATTTTCTTTGGATGATTGTCAAAGGTTTGACTAGGATCTACGTGATTAAATTTATTGTAAGCTTTATGTAATTTTGCTCTTGGTAAGTGTGAAAGTTGAAATAAAGTACAATAAGTACATGCAAATTCGGTTTTACAAAACGATGCCAGGAGAAAGCTTTTAAATTATTCAATATGTGTCAATAAATTGAAACGTACGCCAGCAAAATGCTTATTTATGATACTGTCCGATCGTTTAAAAATTTGTTTATTCTAAAGAACAATATGCTGTAAAAGACATTAGTTAAGACATTTGCCAAAGAAAGATTACCCATTCTAAATCGGTTTGACCAATGGCAATCCCGAGTGAACCGGATATATCGATGTATCATTGACCGGTTGTTTGTTATTGGTTCGACCTTGGTGTAATTATAAAACTTGCTGAATACGAAAGTTCCCCCAAAACAACAATAATGACGTTATTTTCTACAATTCAACCATATCGATTCCATTACTTCAAAAATGTTAACTAAAATGACATGCATAGGGACATCAGTTTTATATCGTTTTGAATCCTGGACGCAATGGAAAAAGTTTAATGCATAACTGACGTTTAAAATGCTATCGAAGTCGAAAAAAATGTTACTGCATGTATAATGTTAAAAATACAACATTACATAACAGTGTAAAAGCTACATTGATTTTGCTCATATGTGAAGCATTTTGTGTCAGTTCAGTTCGCAGATCAAATCTTCAAAGACAAAGATAACTGTCGTTAAGTCAACCTTACAGGGAAATACACACATATGGCAACTATACATTTATATTTAAAATAATGATAAATATGAATACTTCACAATCCGCCGAAATCTTTACAGCACTTTTTTGAAACAAATGTTAGTTTTTTTGTGAATGCCTTTGCATACACTACTCTAGCACCAACATGCCGCTTATATTTTCACAGTCAATATGGAGTGCAAGTCACATTTTGTCAAAATATAAAATGCAACACGTAGAAATAAATCGCATGTCATACAACCTTCTCCCCTTATGCTTTTATTTCACTTTCGGAACGAGAATGTTTGCTGTTACTTATCCATTGTTTCATTTTCCTTGACGATGATATTTCTATTGCTCTTGGTGTATCCAAGTCATCGTCATAAAGTTCATTTTCCCGCGCAATAACATCTAACGCATCTTCACTTTTTCTGTTGTAGCAAATGCGTGATGTATTATTTTCAGAGTCATTGTTTCGTGGCGTATCGGTCTCCGATTCAGAGGAGACCCGACCTCTGCGCTTCTTCTTCTTTTTATTTGTTTGTGTCGTATTGCGAATAGGTAAAAGCAACGCTGTCGCCTGCCCTTGACGTTGTTCTATTTCCCGTCCTGTATTCGGTAAAGATTGTTCACCAACTTGATGAGTTTGGTGCATGAAAGACTCCGTTCTCCGAATAGACAGCGAGTTTGTTCTATCTTTTTTCTTATCTCTACGCGATGATTTGTCAACACGCGGACTAGAGTCTTTTGAAAATATACTTGGTAGCACGTTTGCTTTTTCCTCTCTATACGTTGATTCATTTGAATCGCTTTCATTTGCATTTTCATACCTGTTAAAAATGTTTGTGTCTACATTATTGAAATCCCTCCGTATGTTAAGATTTGATGGACAACTCGGTGAGCGACAGTACGACGAGCGAAGTTCTCTAGTCATGGACCGATGACGTGTTGACCTTGACCCAGGCAAGCTTGCGATGCTTGTCGAATTGGCGCGATCGATTGTTGGAAATTTCAGCGGGGTACTAGCCAGTGATGCGGGGACACTACCGCGTGTCTGTGACTTTCTAGAACTATTTACATAATCATTTGGATCAGTTTCGCTTCCTAGGGAAATGGCACTTTTTCTTGAAATCGGCGGAAATAACGACTCGTCCATTGTTGATTTTAAATACTGAGATGGTGTTGCCGACAACTCCGAGCCTACAAGTCCTGGTGGCATGACTCAGTAAGAGCCTTAAGCATGTCCCGAACTAATCCAACATTCCTCTGCTTCAATCATTATAGAACTGTGATTATATAACGTACTTTGTTTAATTAATCAACTATAATCTAGGACTGCTCACGCTGTTATCCACTGTGTCACCTATCCGTGATTGATTTTCTTTTATTTATTTCTTTCAAACACCTGCAAGTACAAGATTAAACTATAAAAATCATTTCTCAACTCGCACTAATACATACAGACATTTTATGTAAAAGATCATCATAAAAGAAGATGATTATCTTTAGAAGTAAAGAACAACAGTTACGTCAAGTCAAGTCTTACTGTACTTCCATTCACGTTTGAAATGGTCTAACTTTGAATACTGATTTAGAAATTTATTGCATTGTGAGCTCGTGCAACATAATGTCTTCGGTAGATTATCGGTGTTTTATTGGAACTTGTCTGACTGAAGCTAGAAATGAACTAATAAAAACAGAACAGCTGAGGTAGCCATGTCTAAAACGGGATTTGCATCTTATTCTGAATCAATGACGGTTAAATTTCTGACCTAGATAATCGTAATTAATCAGCATCGACGTACATTTACATAATACATGTATATGTAAATTGATGATAAGTCAGAATCATCAATTATTTAGATATACGTCCGAGGAAACCTAAGTAAAATCACTTAGGATTTGCGTGATATAAAATAAACCGGATAATTAACCAATCAATGACTGGTATGGACACGGACTATTTCTCCGTGAATAATTTATTAAATAGTGCGTCGCCACGATAAATGGTCACTTTACTTAAAAAGAGAAAAATTGATATTGCGAGGTTCTATAATCACGTTAATGATATTTGTCTATTGAATGAAATATTGATATACTTCAACACAACACCTGTATATTGTAATTCACGTAACGATTACAAGAAAACAATATTTATCATGATGTTATTATTATATCATCCTTTAAGAGCGCATGAATCTGTTTCAGTCATCATAGTGATATTAACAGTGTGTTATTTCTTCTTGTTTAAAATTTTATCAAATCTTCTTGAAGATTAGAAAATGACTTACGGCCTCTAATTACTTTTGAGTAACGTTTTAACTTATTATTCTCTTTAACTCATAATGGGAAACATCAACGCGATGCTTCTTCATTCTTTCTTTTTTTGCTATTTCTTCCTATAATCAAGTTTAGTCAGTATGGATTTGTAGTCATATTTTTTCAATTATTATTATATTGATTGCTGATATAAGTCATATCACCTTGAATATCCAGTAACGCAGGAACGTGCAATTAACATAAAAGTAACGCCGAGTCTGTGCAACGCTTTTGCCGAAACGAATAACACAGTAAGTAAACGAACCAAAATAGTTTATTCTTAAACAAATTTAAGGAAATGAATTAGCGCATACGGCTGCTACGACAATATACTTTAACAAGCATTACAATGTTTTTCAGGAATATGTTTACTTCTTTAGATCATTCGTGAGAAAAACAACCTGATTACCGTTTTGAAGGTGACTTTTGTGTTTCGTCAAATACAAAATGTACATTTAACACATTTAAAACTTTGTTTTTTTCATATTCTGTATACCTAAGACATTTGTCAATCTAAAAGTGTCGTATAACAATAGAAGGAAGCTGGTAAAATAGGATTTAGCTACTTTAAATGAGATAACCGCCGTTACTTCAGTGCTTCATTCACGAATTCGGCGTTACCTCGTAAAAATGGTCTCAATTATGTTGTACAAGTTGTCTGCTACATATGTGTAATATGACACGAATAGATTGGAAAATGTCTTAAGTACGCCGAATATAAAAAGTCATAAAGTAATATGTACGTTATTGTATTTCAAGACTAAAAGATCGCCAAAAATACGCTAGTCAGATCGTCATTCTCACGAATGATCTTGAAAAATAAACATGTTCATGGAAATATTTTCGATGAGGTTTAAAGTATATAATATAATGTCTCAACAACCGTATGCGCTAACTCATTTCTTCCAATTTGGTTTACAATAAAAAAAATTACTTATCATGGTGCTCGTTTTTAGCCACTAAATTGCACAATTATGCGTTACTTTTGCACAATTTCTGCGTTATTTGCACATTCCACGGTGCATATATTGAACAATTAAAATACAACAGAATTTATGCACTTATCTTTACTATTATTGAGATTATATGGGGGAGAACGAACGCTCTAAAATTGTTAAAACTTGTGGTCCGATTTTGCTTTAATATTGTAAACTTATTCTTCAGTTACTCGTCTTATATATGCATGTGAAATTATATCTTGTTTATTATAAAAATGGAAGAAAATCAATAAGATATGATAGCTGAATAAATTTATGTTTGTCTATTTTGTCTATCCTTCATTGAGCCAATGAGATAATTTTGTAGAACACTGCATGTTTTATTAATAGTGACGTTCTTTATAACACGAATAAAGTAAGATAAAATGAAACGAAAGAAATTCAATACCTCTTATTTTTCTCCAATATATGTTAGATACATTATAGTCCAAGTCGGATAAAACAAAAATATGTTGGCGGAAAATCTTAATTTTTTTTCGCTACATATCAAAAAACGAGACGTTTCAAAATAACAACCTAAATTGATTAATAGAGATTATTCTTTGATAAATAATACGCAATAGAATGCAGTACCCTTTTAAAGGGGATTAATTGTACATTTTATTGGCTGATTAATCCCAAGTATGATTATAACTTGATAGAGATCTGAGCGGAATTTAGAGATATATATAAATCTATAGAAATATACACAGATTAAGGATTAACCATTGAAAAATAGCCAATTTTGTAATTCCTGGGGCAAATTGTTGTTATTGCTTATACTTTCTGTTAAAATCTTATTAAAGTACACAAGTCACACCCACGAATTTCTTTGTCTGTCAAAATCAATTAATTTGTTGTTTATTGTGTATATTGTCACCTATCTATAACAAGTAATGACATCATCTAAAGTAAACATAACAAATCAATTAAATAACAAAAAGGAGGATTTGGGCATAATCTTCTTCAAGAACAGGACAGTTGCCTTTGATATACACTACCCTCCAAAAGCCTGGAGACAGTCATGAAAATCTATGAAATCTGGAAAAGTATTCATAAAAACATAAGCTTTCTTTGTGTTTCCCTGGTTTGTTGGACACCATGAATATCGGAACAACATAAGAGTAACTGTTGGAGTCCAAATAGATTGTAAATGAAATGCGCAGTTATCTTCTATAAGCAATATTGAATGTATTCACTGTTTATTAATATCACTATTTTTACGGTATATGTGTTACTTTAAATGAAATGATTGATTCATCTTTAGCACAACATCCGACAATACACACATACAATTGTCACTCCTTCTTAAATTAATCGCTGATGTTGAAGTTTTCCGTGGTCGAGATATAAAGGCCGCTGAAGACATTAAAAAAGGCTTTACAACTAAATTTAGAAGTTAGTGTAGAAATTCAGCTCCCCACCTGTGTCTGAAATATTGCAAGGAGGTGTATCTAGGGTCATCTTCAATTTTTAAAAACTTAAAGTTGCCACATGACTTTTACAGTGAGGGTGTGATTAAAATACACCCAACAAAATTTTAAAGAGAAGACAATGGTTTAACCTTGATTCTACAGATGTCGGATTTAAATTCTCGATAAGTCTAAGTTTAAAACAGTTACGATTAATGCCAACTTCGTAAATTCGCAATATTTAATGTTGATATTCATTTAGTACCAACTATGGAAATATATCTGTATCATTTTAGAATACTGATTGCTACATAAAACATACATAAATCCATTAGACAGTCTTTTGTAGGTCTGAAAGTTTATCTGTTTGGAAAATCAAATAAATCTAAATGTCAAAGACCCAATTGCTTTGCACAAAATTACATCCAGAAAAAAATGTACGCCCGAGCAAATCTTTACTATGTGACTTAGAAAAAGAGAAAAAGGTGAATTGCTAGAACTCAAAAATATAACAGTGTTGAAGATAAAAGCGATGTCTTAGGAAAGTCTTTTTAACATACTTTTAAACAAACTTTACCTGATACGATATGTATATAATCTCTCTTACTGTCATTTGTCATATTTTTAAAATTATTCAATTAAGTAAACCATGAATTATTTACCCTTTTAATTTTTATCCTACACAAGTTCTTCGTCTAAGAAAATAAAATCTCAATAGGGTATTCCATACACTAACAATCCGGCATTATCTCGGATAGTTAAGAAGCATTTTACGCTAGTAGAATTAGCTGTGTTTTATTTATTACGTATATACAACAACCCAATCATTCAACAATACTGATCGGTAAAATCTATAATACATCAAAGAGCTAAATAATAGATTCACCGCTGTAATAAAAGTTTTAATTAAGAAAAAATAGTTGGCCGTAGAATGAAGTAAGTAATAGAAAGCGTGCAAAGATAAGTAGATAATGTAATTAAGATGAACTTGCAGCACTTATAGCAGGTGCTTGTCTAGTCGCGTGAGGTCTAGTGCACGTGTATTTACGATTAGACAGTTTATGAGTGCTTTGATTGTCCTTAAACTAGTGATTATACACCATTTATTATCGACATGGTCAATATAAAATTCCTCCGAGGAAATATATCAAAGAAAGAAACTGACATGGCTGACATAAAATGCATTTTATGTAAGCTTTCAAACTGGCAACTTGAAGCTTTTTTACTTTCAAATCATGTATGTATAAACGTATATTGTATATGCATATTTTAAAAAAAAATATTGTTTTTATTATCATTATTATTATTATTATTTGTTTTTATTTATTTATTCATTTTTTTATTTTATTTTTTTTTTTTTGGGGGGGGGGAGGTAAGAGAGGAAAGTATGTTCCATGTTGTATACAATGTGTCGCCATAATACCGACTTAACAAATGACCTGGTAAATCAAGACGCGGGCAAGCTCTTATAATGTATGTATTTCAGACAATGGGCATCGACCCTTAGGGACCGGACTGTTTAAGATAATAATACAATGTACTAATCTATACTTTGGAATTTATACCAATAAACAAAACATCTTTTTTCTTCATGAAATATAAAATTTTAAAAAATTAGTGAACAATTAAAACTTGTTTAAAATATCGCATATAAATATGAACTTTCTTCCCACTTGGTATACTAACTCATTTTAAAA